CCACACATTATGCACACATGTATAACAAAGTTTATAAGTGCTCTATTTGCGACCGTAAAGGTCATCTTGCAAAATTTTGTTATAATGCTCAAAAATTTATCAAGTCCAAAAATGTTGCTACTTGTGAATCCCATCAAGCTTCATCACAACATACATATACACATGCACATAAAATTCATCATAAGCATGCAAATGTGTATAAATGTGATTTTTGTGATCGTTTTGGTCATTTGATAAAATTTTGTTTTGATTTAAAAAGAGTTTCACATTAGCAAAATGTATTTAAAAGACCATATATGCTTGCAAATGATTCTCGTGCACAACCACAAGGTCAACAAAAATAAATGCACCTATTTCATTGCACATATTGCAATCGAAAGGGTCATTTGCATGAATATTGTTATGACCGTATCCGTGCATAAAATACGCCCGACTAGGGTCACAACCCAAGGACATTGAGCTTTAATGATAGGGATCATGTCCCTAAACAATCCGGCATCAAGAACATTTGGGTGCCAAAATAAATTTAACTTTATTTATTTTGATTTTTGATTTTGCTTTTCATGTCTGTTTTACAATGAAAATTTATCAAAACTCTTAATTATTTAAATTCATTTTTTTTTAAACATTAAAAGGAAAATATGTTCAAATACACATTGTTGAAAAATTAAAAATGGATTTTTAAATGTCTTGTTTTCAAAAACCATAGTTCATGACACTTCTTAAAAACTGTATTTTAAATTATCAGTCGACTGATCAGTCGACCGATAGCTGCTCTCAGTCGAGCGATCAGTCAACTGACGAGTTTACAGTTTTCAGGTTTTCATTGTGTTTAGTCTTCAAACCCGACCCATTTGAGACCCAACTTGCTTAGAGCCGTTGATCTCATGTATGAATCAATCCTGGCCCTTGATCATTCATATATATGTTAGAAATCCAATTCCCTTTCTTCCCAAACCCTTAGTCGACCTAAAACCCTAACCTTTAATCTTTGAGTCGCCTAGTCGACCGTAGCCTTAGTCAGTCGTTTGAGCCCCTGCCGAGAGCCTGTTGCTGGTGAGTTCTCTATTTTTTGGATCCTCTCTTGTCGCTCGGTATAATCTCTTTCACTCGTCTCAATTCCAGCTTTTACTTGTTTGGTTGTTGGTCTAGAGCTTTTCACCTAGGGTTGCTTTTGATCTTAGATTGTTTGAGATCACTGTCATTTGCTTAATTTTATCTATTAATCATGTCCCGATCTCACCCCAAAAGAGCAAGATCTAGTAGACCCGAACCCGCACCCGCTCCCACTACTGAATTTGCTTATTATTATTGATACATTTGTGATCCATCTTTGATTAATAGATATCGTATTTATTGCCAACTCATAATGTTTCCTAGGAGATCTGTCAAGTTTGACGATTTTGATCATTATCAGTTGCAAATATATTTTAATGATGTTAAACTATATGATTTGCTCTCTCTCACAAATCATCTACCATATTATCATAATCTTATACGTCTATTTTATGCTAATTTGCAACTTGATCAAACTGATGCTAATACCCCCTTCATTACCTCTAGTGTTAAGAATCGTCGTATTGTTTTTATTGTCCATCAATTAGCTGAGATTCTTAACATTCCTTTTGGTGATATTGTCCTGAAATATATTGATTGTGATGAAGAAAATATATTATCTTTAATCCTCCTTCCAGGACAACATCTTCTTCTTGATAACAGCTCAGTTTCACCTCTTGGTCGTTCATTGTTCGTATCCTTTCCTACAACATAATTTCCAAAACTGAGGGTTATGATCATTTTTCTGAAGAGCTGACTAATGGCATTTATGCTCTTGTTGCAAACCTTAATGTCAAATGGTGCAAGGTTATTTTTGATATCATGGCAACAATCCACACGAAATTCCGTCCTTTTGGAGCTTTTCTAACTAAAATTTTCACTCATTTTGAGGTGGATTTGTCTGATGAATCTCATGTTCACATTCATGACTTCTTTAACTCAATTGTGCTCTCTAGGATGAATCTCCATGTCACCCAGTTTCATTTAGGTCATCCTGATGCTTCTCCCATAGGTGATTCATCATCTCAGCCTTCTAGCTCTAGGGCTCATACCCGTCCTCCTCGTGCGTCATCTTCCACCCCTTCGAGTATTCCAGACTATATTATTAACCGTATGGATAGTTTAGAGGAGAGAGTATTTGATCGCCTGAGTGATCTTGAGCGAATGCAAGAAGAAATTCGTGCTGAAGTTGTGTATTGGCATGGTGAGCTCTTGGGTAGGCAGAATGAAGGGTTTGTTCGGATTGAGTATATTCAGGACGAGCTCATGTCTAGGCAGGATGAGATTTCGAGGGTCCAGCGTTAGCTTTTTGATTTATATATGCACCCTCCTCCTCCTCCTCCGGGTCCCGGGCCTTCTGAGATATGAAGACAAAATTTTTCTATTTGGACTTGTATTTTGTTGTTTGAACTATGTGTTTTTATCTTATTTGGTTTGTAGTCTTGATTTGAATTATGTATTTTGGCTTGTTTTGGTTTGAACAATGAGTTTGAGTTTATGAGATCATTGTAAACACTCTGGTGATGATATTTATGTGTTTGAGTTTATGGATCATCCTCATTGTATTTGATAATGTATTCTTTTATGTGGTTAGTGATTTATGTTTGCTCACATAGCTATCATGCATATATTCTTTTGTGATGCAAAAATACGTATAATAGAGGGAGAAACAAGTGTTTTAAGCTTGCTTGGTTTCTTTTATATGTATTGCCTCAATAATTATTGCATACATCTTATATGATATTTTGATAAGGGGAGCAATCCTTATTATGATTATACTCACCCATGTTTATAAGTAGGGGGAGCATCCGCTCTCTTTCTATTTTGTTGTTTTCCCCCATTTTGATGTTGACAAATGGGGATAGACGAGTGCTTTGTGAGTATATTGTTTGTGTTTTATTCATTTATATATATTAAGAAAATTGTTTGTCATCATCAAAAAGGAAGAGATTGCTAGGACTCATGTTTATGAGCCTACTATCTAATCTAGTTTTGATGATTAACAAACAATTTATAACTGTGTATTTTTCCAGTATTTTTGTTTTGTTTAACATGTATCCAGGTTGAAAGGATTTGAGTCGTAACGATGATATCTGAAATGAAGCCAACACAATTCAAGTAAATGATTCAAGAGCAAGCTTCATATACAATCAACTTCTGTATATTAGTTTAGGAGTTATATTTTGTGTGATAATATTTTAAGCTCAATTTTATACACACGCATTTTTCATTTTTATCATAATATGTGTATTTTTGAGAAAACTTTGCGTTCTTGGTTTATGGACTAAATAATTCTAGTTTACATCTTTTCCTAAGACTATAAATTCATTCAAAATATTTCAAAACTTGGTTTAAGTCATTTTGTCAAAATCAAGCATTTAAATGAACACGTATTTTTAAGATTTTACAAAATGATGAGCTTTCACAAACGGGAAATGGTATTTAAAAAATTTCTTATGTAACATGTTTATTTTCATGTCTATAAACATTTCCCCAAGTTTTATAATTTTTGGAATTCATTTGCTATTTTTAAATCCACTTCAAAACTCACTTTTACTGTGCAAATAAGTCCCTGTGCATGCTTTCAGTCGACTGACAAGGACCATCAATCGACAGAAAAAATCGCCTGGAACTAGCAATTGTTTCTGCTCAGTCGACTGATGCACCATCAATCAACCGAAACAGCTCATCAGTCGGCTGATGGTGCATCAGTCGGTTGATGGTGCATCAGTCGACCGACGGGCTTTGAGCGGTTACCAACGGTCAGCTCATCAGTCGACCGATGAACCCATCAATCAACTGACGACTATTGTAACGGCTAGTTTCCAGTTTCCTGATTTTCAAGGATTTTGTTATTTTTGTTGGATTTTTCTGGGTTTTTGGGGTTTGTTCTTGGAACCTATATATACTCCTTAGCCTCAACATTCTGATTCATCCAAGAAAAGTTTAAAATAAGTTTTTACAAGTTTGTTTAAATGTTTTTTAGTATATTGTTTATGTGAAGAGAGTTTCACAAGAAGAGAAGATAATTTCGGTTTGAGCTTCAATTTTATATCTCCATCTCTCTTGTTTTCAGAGAAGTCTTTTCTAAACTCAATCTCTAACAATTATATTTTGCTCATCATTTCTATAAGCTAGATTTTTAATTGAGTTTATATTTCATTTTACTTATTGATTGCACACACAACCTATTGAGCTTTTAGCATTTCACATTAAGTATAAATTGGGTTGTGATGAGTGATACATTGAGTGTGAGCTTTATTTGGTTCTCATTCTTATTAGAGAACAAATCCTTTGTATTTGAGCTTTATTGTTGAGAAACACATTGTAATACACAAGAATACTTAGAGGAGTGGCTGGTGAGAGACGGGATCAATTTCAAGAGTGGCGTCGATTGTAAATCCTAGGGAAATGTAGTAATTCCGAGCACTTGAGGAAGGTGACACGGACTAGGCCAACACTTAGAGGAGTGTGTTGTGTATTGATAATTATGTGAGATATAAACGTTATCGGTGAGCATTAAAAGCCGAAATTGAGTAGTTGATTTGTGATATAGTGGAGATTCTCCTCAAGAGTGAGGAGCGAAGACGTAGATCAAAAGTGACCGAACTCCGTGATCATTTGCTTGTGTTTGAGTTTGGTATTGACGTATTTTTATTGTCTCATTGTTTATATTGCCTATTGTTTCATATTTGTTTAATCTTACATATATCTCCTTGTATATCACTTTTGCTAGGATATATTGTTTATTAGTTTTAATTTGACATCGACATCAGATTAGATTAGCAAATACCCTATTCACCCCCTTCTAGGGTACTTTCACAAGGCTTGTGAGTATTCATCCAAGAGGACACGGTTCGATGGATTGTATAAGGAATATAGTCGTGCTAAAAGAATGCCAAGCCCTTTGCGCAACCACAAGCATAGACAGAAAAATTAGAGAGTACTGAAATTTAAGCGGGGCTTCGGCATGCTATACGAGAGGTACATTTTGCACGCTACAATTTTGAACCGGATATACATACAACTTCGTCAAGGAAGAATCAGATTATCCGCTGCATATAAACACACATTCGTTGCTAATGAGCTGACATCTCAGTTCGTTAAATGAGCAACCAGAGGCGATGGTGAGACCTACACATTCGATGTGACCAGCAGAATGAGGCATTAGTCACCTAATACTCAAAGTTTTCCTACATTAAAAAAATGATGTTATACTGTGATCAACCACCTGTATAAAAAGCATAAGTTAACTAATAGTTAGTCTATATGTTATACTGTGATCAACAACCTACCTCAGAAAGTAAGCTCTGGCAACCGTAAGATGCAACGTGATACACCATCACATACTCAAGATAGGAACATCAGCAACTTGTATATGCTTCGCTTAATATTTTGCTATAAACCATACCACAAGTTTTGACACAATTAACAGTACAAAGAATTAATAGACAAGCAACCAAGTTCCAACTATGCCAACAAGCTCAACCAAGAAAACAGTCACGAAACCCATGCGCACTCGAAACTTTTCACGTTGAATTCAGCACCAAAGCAAATGAGTGTGTTTGAAGTGCTTCAAACCCATTTGAACGCTGCACACCTTATACCTGCTATCGTATCACACCTTGATCTTGCTGCACACTGGACTAGATTAAAAGAACTATATTTCTATAGCAGATGTCTAAGGAGATAATTACCCGGTTCCAAACCTATTCGGAATGCATATCCATAGAAGAATCTGTGGAATTGGGATCTTTGTTCAGATTAAATGGTTCATGGTTTCGAGATCCATTTCCGGCGTGCAAAATGCCATGTCCAACTGTTGCCTGAGGAAACGGACCAGAAGAGGTTTGGATGCTGGAGTTTTGTGAAGGTTGGTATCTTTGAGACGTTGATGAATCCTCTCCGATATCTATCTCACGCTGCAAGACCAGGAATATTTTCTAACAAGTTAGTGGAGGTAGAGCAATATGTGAACATAAACACTCAGGTATAGCCACTAAGAAGCCAGCAGCTTTAGGCTCTGTTTGGCAAAACTAGCTGAAAGCTGCGAGATTATAACTGAAAGCTGTTAAGCTAGCTGAAAGCTGTGAAATTATAACTGAAAGCTGTTAGCTGTGTAGCTAGCTGATTGACTAGAGCTGTTTAGCAAAAGTAGCTGTACAACTAGCTTAAGTTTGTTAAATGACTAAAAAAGACATGCAATATTATTGATATAAAATTAGAATTATTAGGGGCAAAAACGGAAAACAAAAATTGGCAGCTCCTTCCTAAAGACAAACGCTACTTGAGGTAGCTTTTCAAAAGCTACTTGCAAAAGACACAATCTCTAAAATAATCTCCTCTTATTTTTTGTCACCAAACAGCTCTACTAGCTTATTGACCAAGTCAATAAGACACAAGCTCTTAGATAAGACACTTTTTTTGGTTGCCAAACAGTGCCTTAGTAGATTAGAACAACGAAAAGACAAAACCACGTAACCTTATGAGATTGTACATTGAGTGATCAGCTGGTACATATTACGGAAACATATATTTGCTTCACGGAACGTTACATCTTCCAACGTCCAATCTTAATAAAGATGCTAATATCAAAATAAACAGCAAAAAAAGTAACTTTCCAGAATTACCCACATTTTAATTAACTAAAAAACTTGGAGTAATGACGGTAGTAGTGAAGGAGGAAGTAGTGGGGTTAATAGAGATGGTATGAACCAGGGTGTAGTAGAGCGAAGAGCAAGTGGATCCAATTTCATTAAAGTTATAACGAGAAGGTGGTGATGGACCATGGCGCTAACGGAGGGATACAAAGTGGATTAGGGCTTAACAAAAAGGGGAAGTTGAAGGAATAAGGAGAAGCTAGAAAGGTGGAGAAGGTACTAGTGGAGGAGGTAGAATTGGGCTGTGTAAACTCTCAATAAAAATATGGAGCTGCCTACAAAAACTTTATCTGGATCCTTGTAATGAATGATGACCTCTGGCTATACATACACATTGTTTATATACATAGAAAGCAATAAGAAAGCTCTTTCCACACTCTCATTCCTAAATTTTCTGAAACTTTTACATAATAATGCCAGGATATAAACCTTCGCAGCATGATAACAGTTAAAAAAGGTCTTCAATGAATGAACAACAATGACAAACCTGACACTAACTAGGAAAAAAAATCAGGTTATTAATGAAGAAAGGAGGAGATGTAGGCTTAACTCTTAAGAGAACTTGGTTTGAAACCGTAAAGAATGATATGATTAATGATAGCCCTCAACAAAACTGAGTGAGAGGATTCATGTAGCCGATCCCAAAAGTTTGGGATAAAGGCTTTGTTGCTGCTGCTGTTGTTTTACCAACTGCAGACCTAAGCAACAAGCATGTCAATAACACAGCCATATAGATACAGTATAAGTTCCTATATTTCAACCTTGATAATAAATGCCCCATAACATAGGTTGCAGCAAACTAAAAAAATCCTTAAACAATATCAGCAAAGGAAAATATAAGAAATAAGAACAAGCAAAATTGACCCACGCAATACTGCGGTATTAGCGTAGAAAACCCCAAAAATTAACCGTTTAAATATTGCATTTAAAAAATACACCACATATTGAACCATAGAACAAAACTATAGCAGTTAAAGCAAAATGTAACAACTTATATCATAAATCAAACTACTAAAATACAAATTAGTGGTTTATTTTAGGTCCAAGTGTGATTTTGGAAGAGGGCAGGTTATAAAAATAACTGGCTACTTTGGGTTTATAGAAAAAAAAATCTTTTTCTATAAGTAGGTGGGTTAAAAAAACAATACATTGAGGTTATACGCCAAAAACCCATATACAGTTTGTCATGACACGAAATTAGTTTTTAAAACAAAAACCAAAACCAAAAAAAATCTAAACATTTGGTTTAAAAATACATCCTACACCCAACCATTTTGAACAGATATACAGCAAATTAGATCAAAATCTAGCAACATATTGAATATCGAACCGTTGAAATAAAACGCGGTTTTAAAATTAACTCGATGGAATATTTTGGGTCTAAGAGTGAGGTTCGAAGTCGGTGGGATTAAAAATAAATAGAGGTAAAACTTTGAATTTATAGGGGAAAAAAACATGTGGTTTAAAAGTCAATGGGTTGTAAAACTTGGGGCTATGGACAAAAATCCATCTACAGTATGCAATGACGAGACATTAATGTGAGAATGCCAATGTTACAGAAAACGCTAGGCAACCTAGGCATCGGATTTCCGACACCTACAACTCAAGTGGGGCCCATGTGTTTTTCCTTTTTTATAAATAATGTTATTAAAAGCGCTAGGTTATAGAAAGCGCTAAGTGGCCTAGGCATCGGGGCGCGGCCTAAGCGCTTGTTTTATTTTTTTAATTACAATCAATATTATCAAAAGTGCTAGGCAACCTAGGCATCGGAGCACCTAGGGCCTAAGTGGTTTTTTTATTTTTAATTACAATCAGTATTATCAAAAGTGCTAGGCACCTCTAGGTGCTAAACTAGTACCTAGCATCTAGGTGATAGGCTTAGAAGAATTTCTTTTTTCGTTTAAGTGGTGGCAAAGGAGGTTTCGCTAAAGATTGGAAAGTCAGAGGTATTCGTAGTTGGTGGAGGAGGCCAGAGGAGTTCGGAGGAGATTGGAGGACGTGGAGGCAATAGAATAAATCATGACCAAGACCTCATAGTACACTCTGCATAAGCGGTCTCCGCTTCCCTTAGCACTCTCTAGACCTAAGCAGGCGGGGCCTAGGCGGCGTAGGTACCACCTAAGCCTAGGCAAGAACCTAAACAGACTAGGCGAGGTTTTAAAACATTGAAAAATGCTAAGTAACTATTTAAGCAGTTAGGTTAAATATACACCTTATAGGTGTCGTTGTGCGGAGAATATCAAATTGAGAAAGGTAGGGAAACTAGAACACGCATTTGTATTTGATTAATACGGGGAATAACAAACAAAACAAAAAAGAGATAGTGCGGAGTGAAAAGTACTACTTTGCGGAAGTTTATATGTGTCACTTTGTCACATGTGGAAAAAAGAAATATTTCTAAGAAAGAAGTTGCAGATAGAATACAAAACTTGTTTTCATGTAGCTCAATTGTAGTTTCAACGGAAGACCACCAGGCTCCTGGATTTCATTATCATGTTGCCTTCAAACATAACAATGCGTCTAAAAATACGGCTACCAAGAGAATCCGAGAAGCTTTTCCTGAACTTGAGGGCTGCCAATGTGATGTTAGATTTTTTAAGGGGTTCGGGAAACTTGTCCTTTATGTAACAAAAGAAGATAGCAATCCTTATGTGTGGGGGAACCTTTCTCAATTTGATATTCTCTGCCACTTAAGAGAAAAATATAGCAAGTTATAGCAAATTGTAGCAACTTACACCATATACCAAATTGTTGAAATATAAATGGCTTTAAAATCAATTCAATAGTGGTGATTCTTGGTCTAATAATGGTTTTAGAAGTGGGTCTATAAGTAATTTAGGAAGTGGGTAAGTTTAAAAATAAATGGGGTACGGGTTTAAAATAACCATTTATATTACATTATATTATATTATTATATTAATTTTCAAACGCTAATTGTGGCACGTTGGGTCTAGGAATAATTGTGGCGGGCAAAAAACAAAATTGGGTGAAATTTGGCTTCACACGGAAAAACTAACATTTATATATATTTTACTAACCTAATGGGAGTTGCACTGCAGCGGCTACAGTGCCAATCTATAGTGCAACTTCCAATAGCTTTGGTAGATAGTAATAGAATATGAAGAGTTAATAAGAGACTAACTTCAAAACACTAAAAAAATTATAGGAGACTAATCTCATAATGTGAAGATTTGGACCAATTTCGAAATATGAAAGATTTGGGGGACTAACAAGAAGCTCTAATTATTTAAATATTGCTGTCTTGTCCTATTTCTATCAATGTACTTGTTTTCATTTGTTTATTACTCATTGTAACTGTGTTTGACATTTCTATTGTGCAACTTCCAATAGCTTTAGTAGACAGTAATAAAATATGAAGAGTTGCAAGGCTAGCTTTAAAACACTTCAAATTTTTGAAGACTAAACTCATAATGTGAAGATTTGGAGGACCAATTTCAAAATATGAAAGACTTGGGGGACTAACAAGAAACTCTAATTATTTAAATATGACTGTGTGTTGTCCTATTAGTTGCTAGCAATGTACTTGTTTCCATTTGTTATTTACTCCGTGTAACTATGTTTAACGTGGCCTGCATTCTGCTTTGTGTTTTCATTTTTTTATTTTACCATCTACCAAAGTCTTAGAAGCTATCAAGCTACAGTATTTAACTACAGGGGAACTTCCAACAACTTTAGTAGATAATATAATTTAATATAATAAGAAGCATAGATAGAAATAAATACTATATCACGGACTCTGCGTAGTGGTAAACACTTTCGAGCGAAGTTCATTAGCAAGAAACAGTCATCTCCAAATAATCATGACATAATTCACAAAAATATGTACATAGGTAAATGATTTGTTCTAGGAAGAGAAACAACAAAAGTAATAATTTACTAAATTAAAAAGTGTTACAAAAGAAAAGTATAAGCAATTGGCAGAACCTGCAAATAGGCAACTATATCAGCTGCAGTCACTCTTGATGTTTCTTGATGTTGTCTCAATATCCACTGGTACAGTTTCTCCTATACACAATGTAGACAGAAGAACAAGCTTTAGAATAAATATGCTCATACAGCACCAAGCTCTTTCACCAAAATGAAGCGATTAAGATATGAACAAAACACACAAAAGAGTAGCAGGACAGAAACCATAATAAATGTCTAAATGGCAACCATAATATGGACTCTCTTTCAATTATATTATCAGGAATTCTAGACCCTATGTTATGAAAGCAAATGTGTTTCTCCTCCTGGGAACACAAGGAGTTAACTACCCACCTGCCTCCAAGATTTGCAGAAGTTACTATGTGAAGTTCGTAAATCAGATGCCCACAAGATCAGAGAACCAGAAAACAACCCTTGAATACAAAAAACTGTTCTATGTCAGAAAGCAAAATTTTCAAATAATTACATCAAATCAGCCATCCTACAGTTACAAGTTGCATTCCATATACCAATACCATTCTGAAATTACATGATCTTCCATCAGGGTCAACTGCTGACCAAATTGGTTTAATATTTGAAGGTCAAAAATAAAAGAAAGCACGGATGACATAAACAGAAGAAAAGTCTGTGAGACAATCATACTAGTAAGGGTGTTAGGGTGGAACCTCAACATCTAGGAAAACATCTATCATAATTAAAACACAGCATATAAAATCTACAATACAGATCATATAGATACATCAGATTCTAATGAAAGAAAGGGAGGCTGGAAAATTGCAAAAAAATTGTGGTTATTATTAAACTAGATTTTTGGCGCATGCATAAAAAGAAGATGCATAATTATTTTTTGAGGAAATAGCAATTAAAGAACTGTATAGAATACACTTACAAATAATATGTATGAAATGACACGAAGCAGCAAACAAACAAAAGATGCATTTCAAAAATTATATATTTAATGGTTTGCCCTTCTCTAGTGAAAATCTAATTTTACGGAGCATCAGATGTAGCAAAATTATAAACTTCATATACAAAGTAAGAGTCATGTATGCAAATAATGAAAAACAAAGGAAACTCATATCCAAAATTTTCTTCTTTCTTTTGGGTATCATACGGACTGGCAAAGTGAGAAATGTGTTACTTTAAGCAATGTAGGTACCCATAGACAATTTGATCTGATAGAAAACAGTAAACACAAATATTTTATACAAAAAATAGTGGTGAGGACAAAAGGAAAGCAAATGTTAAGCTTCCCTTAAATCCACACACTTGTGGATAATCCAAAAAAAAAGTCGTGTGATTGTTGATCTGATCTTAGTGATTTTTGACAGCTTAGTGTGCCCCTCCTGATTTGATTGTCAATTCTCCAGCTGCATTTAGTGACAAGTGATTGAGGGCAAGAGGTTATCTGAGATTGCATGAGATAATATATTTTCAATTAGTTCCATTGCTGATTAACGTGTATAGAAGTATAGTGGTCTCAAAAAGAAATGTATAGAACTATAAAATTTTTGTGCATTTTCCTGCATTGGATAAGTCTGATTCTCCTACTTAAATGTGTGTGCACATACATGTGCACACATAGGAGAATGTATTTAGGCTGGGATTTGAAGAGATATCAAACTATCAAAGTAAACTAGCAAACCTTAAATGTTATTTTGCAATTTGCAAGCAACTAAAGGAAAAGACACTAAATTAATAAGTGGCTAATGGATTCATGCAACTGTGATATTCGCATACTATGGTATGCAATGTGCAAGTAAATTCACTTTCTTCTAATATATCTCCTGCAATACACCAAGTCTAGACGCTCATCTCATGATAATCTAGTGAGTAATTTTTATATGTCCCCCTAATCTGATAAATCCAAACGCAGGTGTCTTTAAAGTCCATTGCGGTTTTGTAACTAATCATCAACAAACCTTATACTTAAAGTCCATTACACACCCTCCTAGATTGCAAATATATTCATATACAAACGCAATGAATGCAAAGATGCTTGACAATACCCGTGTGACACATTTACCCTAATAATAATGAATTGAACCTTCTGGAAAGTCTGGAACTATCATCTTTTAAACATGTAACCACTTCTGAAGAAAAAGCAACTCTAATTTTATGATGCAAAAGCAATCCCAATTAAAATTTATCTTCCAAATGCAAGCAGATGGCTTCATGGTTATTTGCCTCTAAGGTAGCAGACTCCGTGGTGCCAAATATGACAATTTAAAAAAAAACTAATTGCAAAGCACGCACTTGTCATAAGCAAACTCATTTCGCCGCAAATGATCCATGACGAAAAGCTACGGCCTAGCTAATAAGTTACAGTCCAAACGTAAGCATAATAATATTGAGATAAGTATATAACTCCATCCACGCCTCTCCATCAATACTGATGAAATCAACTACCAATTATAAATAATAATCTCCATGAGATATGATAAATCCATCCGTTTCACGTTAGATACCCCAAATAAGTATCTAATTTCCCCATTAATAAACACATCCAATTAGCCTGGCCTCATATTATTCCTCCCATCCAATTTCCCCACGGGCCGTTTCCCAATAAATAACTCGCCAAATACTTGGACTTTTACCACTAATCAGAGTGTGTCCAACCTTTTTTTCTCAATTTTCGATCAATAAACAGTTAAACGCCAACACACGATCACATTAATAATAATTATTATTATAATAAGACGAACTGAACAAACAAAATCCAAACGGATCAAACTCGAGCAATCCAATCATCATCGTCCGACCAAAGAGGAGGGAGAGAGAGAGAGAGAGGGACACGGACCAAAGCGTGGCGTTCTCCAGCTTGAAAGGAGAGCTTCTGCTGGTTCATCGCCTGCGTGTAGATCTGCGAGAGGGAGTTGGCGGCGCTGCAGAAGGTTGAGTACATGCTCCGCTCGACCTCGTCGAGACGACTCGCGACGGATTTCCTCTTCTTCGCCATCAGAATTTTAGAATCGAGTTTAGAGAGAGAGAGAGAACCCTAGAAATTAAGCAAGGAGAAAGAAAGGAACAAGACAATCCCTTGCCCGTTCTCTCTTTCTCTCTCTCCAAAAGGGCGAGGGAGGGGGCAGAGAAAGAGAGAGAGAGAGAGAGAGAGGAGTGTGGGGCCCGTGGTTTTATTCCTAATAATTTTTGTTGGGGGAAAATTGCTTCCAAGCTTCAAATTTAAAAAATCAGTGTGACTCAGTCCCTTTTTTTTACCTATATATGTGCTGCACCCCTAATTTTTGAAAAAATTATACCCCAGCCCCTCCCGCTCACATCTCCCCAAGTTTTAATGTATTTTATATCAAAATCCCAACTTTACCCTCCAGCTCACCTCTCCCTAAGCCTTCATTCTTTCTTCTTCTCCTCCTCCTTCACCCCCCCTCTGCCCCTTCCCTCAACTCTCTCCTCCTCTCCTCCTCCTCCTCCTCCTCCTCCTCCTCTCCAATCTTNGAAACGAAGCCGCCAACTCCCCAACCCACTCCAGATCCAACTCCTATAAGCACACAGCAGCCCCTCCCCCTATCCAAGCCAATTCCGGCCAACCTCAGCCCCAACCTCACTGATTTATCACCGCTACCACAATACACTCCGCCCAAATGCACGCCACATGTTGGACCTAATAACTGAACACCACGTCCAACCCTTGCACCTCCCAATCTTTGAAATGTCACATAAGCCTTCAGCCGATGCTCTGCCTCCAACGTTACACCACCCACATCATGTTACGAAGCCTCTCTATCCCAATGGTGCACCACCTACACCGCAGAGTTTGACGCAGAGGTGGCGACCATCAGGTCGGCGATGGTGAACGAGTTAAATGAGATGGGGACGACGACGCTATTCATTGAGGCAGAGAAGGGGTATTTGGATATCGTGGTGGAGTTATTGAGGTACACGTATAGAGAGCTTGGCGAGGAGGAATGGGTTGGGGTTTGATTTGGTTGATCATCAAAATAATTGAGAGGGGATGTGTTTGTGTTTGTGTGTGTGAGTTTGTGTCGCAATTGTTGTAGGATTTTGGGGTGTGTGTGTGAAGCGTTGAATTTTATCTACTGTCCAACTCAGTGAAGAAAAGGGCGATGAGGATGAAGTCAAAGGGCGATAGATGAGGCTTATCGGGTTATTGGGTTTCGGATCTGTGTCGGATGGTATATGGGACACGGAGATGGCCGGCGCTGGAGAAAGATAGTTGGAGGGATGAGGAGGGGCAAAGGGAAGAGTGGTGGAGGCGGATGTGAAACACTTTTGTAACGAACCGATCGCCACAACCGAGCAACTTGCAACGAACCAATCGCCGATTAATATGAGTTGCGGATGTGAAGCACTTTTGTATGTATGAACTAAAATACTTTTGGGTGTATGTAATAGCTAAATACTTTTGTATGTATGTAGTAGCTGTGTATATGAACTGAAATACTTTTGTAGGGATGTGAACTATAATGCAAATGTGATATAAATTTGATGCACAAATTTGTCCTATTAACTATTGAAATACTTATATATGTCATTAACTATTAAAATAATTTTTGTTAGCTTGTTAAGTTACTCTATTAGATTGTTAAGTTACACATATAACATGTTAATTTTTCTTGATGGATTGTTAAGTTACACAAATAACATGTTAACTTTCGCATGTAGATTGTTAAGCTACATAGATAACATGTTAACTTTCGCAGTTAGATTGTTAAGTTACACAGATAACTTGTTAACTTTCTTTGTTAACTTGTTAAATTACACATGTAACATGTTAACTTTTACAGTTAGATTGTTAAGCTACACAGATAACATGTTAACCTTCCTTAGTAGCTTGTTAAGTTACACAGATAACATGTTAACTTTATTTGTTCGCTTGTTAAGCTACTCAGATAACATAAGTATATGACCACCTACAAAAAATATGAACGTTGAGGATTTATATATGTCAATAGATGTGTATATTTGTCCTATTAACTATTGAAATACTTATTTATGTCATTAGCTGTGTAATGTGATACAACTACAGAACTGCTTTATAGGTTGACATATACTTATGGTTAACATGTTAACTTATGGATTAAGAGTTAACATGATATTTATTATAGTTAACAAATTACATGTAAGAGTTAACAGCTAATCAACTATAGTTAATATGTAATGGATTATAGTTAACCTCATTCTGTTGTGCGTAAGTATATACCAGATCAGGTTAACTTGCTATATATTATAGTTAACAGGTAAATCCTTAACGTTCATATACACATGTAATGACATAAATAAGTATTTTAATAGTTAATAGGACAAATATACACAACTATTGACATATATAAATCCTCAACATTCACATTTTTTGTAGGTGAGCATATACTTATGTTATCTGTGTAACTTAACAAACTACCAAGGAAAGTTAACATGTTATCTGTGTAGCTTAACAATCTAACTGCGAAAGTTAACATGTTACATGTGTAACTTAACAAGTTAACAAAGAAAGTTAACAAGTTATCTGTGTAACTTAACAATCTAACTGCAAAAGTTAACATGTTATTTGTGTAACTTAACAAGCTACTAAGAAAAGTTAACATATTATCTGTGTAACTTAACAAGTTAACAAAAATAGTTAACATGTTATTTGTGTAGCTTAACAATCTACCTGCGAAAGTTAACATGTTATCTGTATAACTTAACAAGCTATCAAGAAAAATTAACATGTTATATGTGCAACTTAACAATCTAACAAAGCAACTTAACAAGCTAACAAAAAGTATTTCAATAGTTAATGACATATATAAGTATTTCAATAGTTAATAGGACAAATTGTGCATCAATTTTATATCACATTTGCATTATAGTTCACATCCCTACAAAAGTATTTCAGTTCATATACACAGCTACTACATACATACAAAAGTATTTAGCTATTACATATACCCAAAAGTATTTTAGTTCATACATACAAAAGTGCTTCACATCCGCAACTCTTATTAATCGGCGATTGGTTCGTTGCAAGTTGTTCGGTTGTGGCGATCGGTTCGTTACAAAAGTGTTTCACATCCGCCTCCACCACTCTTCCCTTTGCCCCTCCTCATCCCTCCAACTATCTTGCTCCAGCGGCGGGCCCCACCCTCTACCATTGATCGCCGGCCATCTCCGAGTCCCATATACCATCCGACACAGATCTGAAACCCAATAACCCGATAAGTCTCATCTACCGCCATTTGACTTCATCCTCATCGCCCTTTTCTTCACTGAGTTGGATAGTAGATAAAATTCAACGCTTCACACACACACCAAAATCCTACAACAATTGCAGCACAAACAAACTCACACACACAAACACAAACACATCCCCTCTCAATTATTTTGACAATCAACCAAATTAAACCCCAACCCATTCCTCCTCGTCAAGCTCTCTATACGTGTACCTCAACAACTCCACCATAATATCCAAATATCCCTTCTCCGCCGCAATGAATAGCGTCGTCACCCCCATCTTATTCAACTCGTTTACCATCGCCGACCTGATGGTCGCCACCTCTGCGTCAAACTCTACGGTATATGTGGTGCACCATTGGGGTAGGGAGGCTTCGTAACACGATGTGGGTGGTGTAATGTTGGAGGCAGAGCGTCGGCTGAAGGCTGATGTGATATTTAAAAGATTAGGAGGTGTAAGGGTTGGACGTGGTGTTCAGTCATTAGGTCAAACATGTGGCGTGCATTTGAGCAAAGTGTGTTGTGGTGGTAGTGATAAATCAGTGAGGTTGGGGCTGAGGTTGGCTGGACTTGGCTTGGATAGGGGAAGGGGCTGCTGTGTGCTTATAGGATTAGATGTCTGTAGCTGAGACGCGGCGGAGTCGTCGGCCGATATCGTCGTCGGCGCATTAGAAAAACCCCAACAAGCGGTGGATCTTGTGCGGGAGAGTGAGCGCGACGGGTCGCCACGGATCAGAGAGGAGGAGGAGGAGAGGAGGAGGAGGAGAGAGTTGAGAGAGGGGGTAGAGGGGGAGTGGAGGAGGAGAAGAAGAAAGAAGGAATGTTGTTGAGGGTAAAGTTAGGATTTTGATGTAAAATGCATTGAAACTTTGGGGAGAGGTGAGCTGGAGGGGCTGGGGTACAATTTTTTCAAATAATGAGGGGTGCAGTACATAGGTAAAAGTAGGAGGGGTCGTGTCACACTGATTTTTAAAATTTGGCGCTAGGAAGCAATTTTCACTAATTTTTTAGGAAGAAATCTTCAAAATAGCCTCAAAAATATTTTTTTTGAAATCCACCCACTCCCAAGTTATTTCTAGAAATCGACTGAGTTTCTGGCCACGTCAACATCGTGGCCAGAAACTAGATCAATTTAAAAAACCCGGTTCCTAATTAGTCGAGGTTAGGATGACCCCCGCCCCCCGTAGGTGGTTAGGCCACTAAACAAGTCGAGGTTCGCATCCTCGACTAATTGTAGAATAAAATTATAAATTAAATAAATTGTACCTATTAATTATTATCTATTTGGATTGGTAGGACAATGAGATCTATTATGGTCTGGTTGTCTGCAATATCCATACCTATTTTTCTTTCGAGCTCCTTCCCGTCCTTCATCCATCATACATTTTGATTAAAAACTCTAAACCCCAAAATGAAAACGCTAAACCCTAGAAATGAGCATTCTATGCCCTAAAAGTTTAATTAAAATTACAACAATCAATACACAAAGCATTCGAACCACCATAAAAGATAGCATTTGATAATAAATTTCAAACCCTAAAAATTGGATTTTGATAGAAAACCCTACATTTGAATGTTGAAGATAACAAAAAAAGAGGAGGGAAGAAAGAGAAATTACCCTAGAGATCTTAAGCAAACTTTCACGATCAATTTCGGCCACAAAATGAGGTTGGGAGAAGCGGATAGGCGGCTGTAGATTGTCTAAAAATCACTATAGATAGCTGATCCCCCATCAAACATCGATGATGAAAGTTATAATTTGATGGCTTCCAGAATGCTATAATTTGAAGACTTTCACGTAGATCAATGAATGTTATAATCTGACGACCTTCGCAACAACTGATGAAAGCTTTAATCAACAGCTTTCACAATCAACATCGGGAGTTACAATCTGACGGCTTTCA